AGTTTTGACTCCTCCTCGGAAATGAATTTAAATTGGCAATTAAACATAGGTTTTATTTTCTAAATATACTTAACTATTACGACTTTCTGATCGAAGTGTTTCATTGCAAATTGTCGGTTCCATGACCGTCATTAAAATTTTTACGATTCAACCCTAAAATCCTAAATGTTTTATTTGTTCGGAATCCGTAATACGTAAATGGGATTGAAAATGCTTTTCCGCAGGAGTTGATTTTCTTTAGGATTTAATAAACATGGACTATAGGGCAAATGGTTTATGGAGATTTTTTTGTATTTTGCATAGATGAAGAAATTATTTTTAAATGTTAATGCAATTAGTTATCGAAAACGTATATAGTCACAAATTATTTCTCGGTCAAGATTTATAAAATTATAGACGTGAAAGCAAATAATTACTCAACCAAAAAATTCTCACTCATATTCAAACAATTCACATTCAAAACATTCAAAACAATAACTATAAATTCACATAATTAATATAAGAGAGAGATAAAAATTTTCATCCAAAAATAATTTAATGTAATCTATTTGCTTGTAAAACTGAAATTTTAGAATTGGATAATAATAATATTAATAATAATTATTAACACGGGAAAATAATAAAAATTATCATTACAAGCATGAAATGATCGTCAAAACATTATCAAAAGCTTCGCCAATTTTATTGAATATAAAATCACACCATTAAATCACAATTATTGAATTTATAAAAAAATTAAGGGTTCTTTCGTGGATTAGTGGTTAGAATTGCGAGATTTCAATCAAGGGTATCAGGTTCGATATCTGCTTCAGGCAGCCTGATGTCAAGCAGTACTGACATCGGTTTTTGTTTGAAAATACTTATACATCATTACTATGATACAAATTTTAATAATAAAAATTCATCACATAGAGATAGGACAACCGTTTAGATTAACATCTAAAAAACCGACGTAGTTAATTAAGTCATCAGCTTCCGTAAACGCTGATCAAATAAAATACAAATAAAAATTAATGCAATGATGTATTGCTTCAAACATAAATCATACTATATTTGTTACCTTTTGTGAATTTCATTAAAGCAATTATTTAAAATATTAGAAATAAATGTATTGAATCGTTTTATGCCATTTATTCACGCTCATAAATCTTGAATAAAGATTACCAACGAAGAATAATTTATTAGACGTCCAACGGCTGCCAAGTAATTTAATAAGAGAAAATATGATATCGCATCATAATAACATAATAATCTTTGTTTTTATCAAATTACACAGACGTCTAATATATAATTCATCCCGTTCGACGTCAAAACATAACAGAAATAAAGCTTCAATCCCTCACACCGGCGCCTTCGGAACTGAAACCAATCGGAAAGATATAAGAGTGGAATCAAAATCAGGTTAAGCGCACATGACTTCGTTTTGAAGATTTGATTCGACGTGATTTTGTGTCTGCCGGTAGCTGTTCACCCACGTAACGTCCTGAATTTTCTGTCTATTAGATATTGATGGGTTTTGGCACGGGTCCACCGCCTTGCACGTCGATCAAAAGTGGAACTGTTTGAGATCCTCCCGAGTTTCTCTTGTCGAAACAATTACCAACCGTGGAAACACAACGACCGAACCAATCCTTTTATCGGAATTGAACTGGAAAGCGCCTGTTGGGGGCAAGGTACACATAGGGAATATGAGATGATTGTTGACCAAAAGACAATTTTATTACTATTTATTATACTCCGAATCATATCTAGCTCAATATATATCACAAAGATATTATTTTTTTAACTTCTTTGAACAAACATACTTCATTTTTCTTCCTTTGTGTTCCTTTGGACACTATCTCAAAATCAGTATAATAGTTTAACTGTTATGACAACTGTCATTATCGTTCCCTGGCACAACCGTACCCAATCTCCGATACTTATTAACTTCCCGTAGAGTAAGTTATTGTAATGGGCCGAAAATCGAAATTGAAAATTTTTACATTTCTCGACGTTTTGAAGGTTTCTGAACATTTTGGCATACCTCAGAAAAAATGGATGTGTGTGTGTGTATGTATGTATGTATGGATACAAATTTCCAGTCACGTTTTTGGGCGCACGGATCAACCGATTTGAATGGTTCAAAAAACATTCAATTCCTATCGATAGGGAGAAGAGCTGATTAATTTCATGCGAAGGCAGGTCCAGCTGTTTCGGGGATACGGAGCAATGAGTGCAGAAAATAGAAATCGAGTTTTTGAGTGAACGGAGCATCCGATTTGAACATTCAATTAGTAATGATTAGGAAAAGTGTTTATTAGTTTTTAACAAAGGCAGGCCCAGCCATTTCGAAGATACGGAGCTAAATGTGTAAAAAATGGCAGTTTTTGAGAGAACTAAGCGTCCGATTTAAATGATTCAAAGAACTTTCTGCTTGTCTTAACAAAACAATTGATTTTGGAAAAAAAATCGTTTTAACTTTTGTTTTTCGAAAAAAAATTTTTTTGTATATCGAAAATAATTCAGATTTTATTTTTAATTCTGACTATAGTTCTAATATAATATACTTTAAACAAATAATTTCAGCTTTACAATTCAGTTTATAAAATTCTTATAAATATTAGACAATGTTACAATATTAATAATAATCTATTTGAAAACGTTCAGTATTTCTCTAACATTTCGTTACGGTACGGGAAGTTCCAGCAATTTGCCTTAAGGCACGATGCCATACACCCCACTAGTTATTTATTTATTTTACAATACTTCAATAATTCAAGTATTATATTATTTCAATATAAAGTGGTTGAACTTGTCTTTTTGTTTCTATCAGTTTTCAAACAATAAAGAAAAACATTTTTAGAATTATATTATTATGGTAAAATATTGAAATAAATACTGCGAGATACATACATTTCTAGATAAAATGTAATGTTTTAAATTTTTTAAATTATTTTGCAAACAAAAAAAAAGTTTTATTTCAATTTATACACTGTTATGACTCCGTTTTCCCCTATGTTCTGTGTCTCACATACACCACGCGGTCTACCGAGGGCAGTCCGACAATTGCAGCTTTGGGAACATTTATTGCAAAGGATTGTGTCGGCCGACGCTGTAAAAGATTTTCGTATCGTACAAGGAAATGATTTATTTGCTACATCGTAATAAGATTGGGAGAAAGTACCTACCTGATCACTGAGTTGTATATAGAGACTTTTATAACCATGAAATGTGTTTTCCTTACTATTAAAATGATGCTCCTAAATAATGGAAAAAATAGGTGCTTCTAAATGGTGGAAGTTAGGGAATGCAATACCGATGGAAAATTTCAATACCGGTATTTCGATAATTTTTCATTTTAAAACCGGAATACCGGTAAATTACCGGTATTTTTATTATCTTAAACAAACGTAAACAAAATTGAAAGTTACTAGTACAAATATAAAAAAAATGTATATACAACTACAACTATATTCAACTAAACAATAAAAACAATAAAATAAAACAATAAGTTTATTTTTTTAAATAATAATTTAACAAAAGTATATGCAATTTAATTAATTCATTATCACTATATTGAGGGTATATTGGGTACTTTTCACCAAAAACAAACTTATGAGTAAGAAAGACCAAAAACTCATAAAAGATAATATTACATTATTATAATAAACTGTATTGTCTGTATCTGACTTGTTAAATTAGCATAATCTCCAATATTTAAAAAAAAATATTTTTCTACACTAATTTAAGATCGGATTCTTTGTCGAGATAAGTAATAAGTTACTATAATTGTTGAGTATTGTTATTCAAAACAATGTGATGCTTCTATAGTATTTTCAAACTTCGAAACGTTTTCGAAAAATAATATTTTATAATTGTAATAAGAAGCAAAAATATTTAATGATTATCATAATTATTATGTATAATGTTAGAAAAAAATAAAGATTGCGCAGGGGTGATCTGTATGATATAAAATATTTTCGCGCAAATATCACTTAAAAAACCGTTATAATTTTTACAAAAGATGAAACAAACATCGATGTTTAGATAATGATCATTATCTATCAGTCCAATTCCATTTATTGTAACACGATATGAAGCCCTTTGGAAAGCAATAAATATTCAGTTTAATGACGAGTTGAGATAATATTTGACATTTGTTTATTTTATAAAATCACTTGAAGATATAGCTGTTTATGCGATTATGGAAATTAAAATAAATTTGTTCCGAGAAATTTAAACTTTAGGGTATTATGTATCAAATAGCGCTTATGTAAAAATACCGAAAATACCGGTATTTTTGGAATAAATACCGGTAAAAATACCGCCGAAAAATCGGGCGGTTTACCGGTAATTTGGTATACCGGTATACCGGTATTGCATTCCCTAGTGGAAATGAAATGAAATGATGCTTCTATTTTAGGTTAGATCTTAATTTAGATCTATAAAATAAGAAAAATGAAATTTACAGAATTTATCCATAATAATGGAGAACTTTAAAACAATTGCTATTAATCATTTATCAATTTTTGCTGATGATTAATTATTTTTATTCTGCGAATGTTTAATTACTGTACTGGAAGTTCCAGCAATTTGCCTTAAGGCACGATGCCATACACAATTAGTTATGAATTATTTCATCTAAAATCTAGCTAATATTAAAATATTATTTTAATATTCAACCCCGATTTACCCAAGATTTGTTAACGTTTCTTTTTGTGATGCTATTACAATAAAAATTCCGCATATCTCGTATTTACAAAGAATGTTTTTTTGAGCGTAGTGCGCTTTAGCCAAGTTCGTCTCTCGTCTCTCGTCTCTTGTCACAACAGGACCGAAAATATATGAGGTGTTTATATAAAAGCCGGCGGCTGTGAGCTGATGATGATCGCAGATCAAGTCTGTCACTCACTCAACCTGGGTGTGATGTTTGCTGGAATCATCACAACCTCCTTGAGTGAGCGACGGGCTTGCTCGGAAATTCAACTAGAGGAGAGTGCTAAGAAAAATAAAGCGACATGACGAAAAAATATGAAACAATAACATTTCTATGGTAAGTTGTTGTCAACGGAATGCTGAATGTTTGTTCCAGTGCTTTGGGAAAAATTGCTGGAAAAATTGTTTTCAAAAAATAATATATGATTGGACGGGACCCAAGTATTTCACGTGTTCCATTTCTGCATCAAGGAATATGACAGATAAAAAAATTAAAATCAGAATATAGATTTACAACCAAGAAAATTAACAACAAAAGAAAATATGTTTGATATGAGTTTTCAAACTTGACTGTTTATCTCCTGATTGCGACGTTGAAGTTTGAAGGTGATAACTGGTTACACATCTTTTGCCCTGTACTTTCGAATATTGTGATATCGGTGGTGGATTTTTTTACCCGCTGGCCTTTAAGCCCAACTCTTTCCTAATTTACGAACAAAAACATAATTGTTATTTAAAAATAAGAAAAAACAGCAGATTGATGAACTATTTAAAAAACAATACTGTTTGCTGAATAAACGATCCGAACTGTCGGCAAACAACAAACTAATTATTTATAAATGTATTTTCAAACCCGTGTGGTCTTATGGGATTCAACTATGGGGCACCGCCGAAAAAACCAATATACAGATTATTCAGCGATGATGACAGTAAATGAAGCCAACAAAAAACAGATAACTATAAAAAAAGAATTGACGAGCACCCAAATTACTTGGCACAAAAAGTATTCTCAGAAGCGCGCCCAACCAGGCTAAAACAAAAAATTCCCATTCCCATAAATATTTGTAAATGCTAACATTATTATTATTATTATTATTATTATTATTATTATTATCTTATTATTTCTAATATTGTTATTTTTGTTATATTTTTTTGTTTTTCTAGTATTATTTTATTATTCAGAAATTTTATTTATATTATTTATTAATTTTATTTTTATTATTATTTGCTTTTATTCTATACTAAATCATCATACTACGGATATTATTTTAATGTAAATTCTATCCTTTGCACTTTTATTTATTTAAATTTATGAATATGATTTATTAATTGCTATATGCTAATTATTTAACAGTTGTAATAAATATTGTTATTAAAAAATGAACATTTTGACATAACATAATGCTTATTATTAAAGCAGAACTGCCTCTATAATTATAGACGTAGATAATAAAATAATATCAAGGCTAAGTGAGTCAAAATAAATAGAAGAACCTATCTGTTCAGTCATTTCTAATGTTTCCTGTTAATTTACTTTTATATTTTAGAATTTACAGATAATAAATTTTTTTATCGTTCTCTGTTGAAGATAGAAAGATGTTGAAACCTTAAATATTAATATATAACACCTAAACGATCTTACATTCAACCAGAATTTATTTATTTATACATTTTAAATACTTTCTTTCATTTGGTTCAAAATTTTATAAATGCTGAAATTGAAAATAGCTTTCCATCTTATAAGTTACATTATGTAAAATAATGTTTGCAATCCAATACGATGCTAGGTCGAATTAAGATTTTATGTTGAAATATACTAACTAAACAATCTCAGTACACGCTCTTTAATATCTTTTTATCATGTTTACAGTTTACGTGACATATCTTGAAAAGCTCGACCGTTTCCATCATATTTTCTCTCCGGAATCCCTCACGAGTCGACCCCGCCGTCGCAGCGGTGTTTACTTTACACGGAGCTTCTGAATTTTTCATTACGTCATTCAAAAATATCGATATATTCGATAAGGAAGGAATCCCTTAACATGCCCCTCATCTCCTTTGCCGACTCTATATTTTTCTACTCTATCTTCTCGTAATATCAAATCTCTTTGCGAGTTTTCTTTGCTTACCGGAGTGGATGGCAGGGAAAAGAGTAGCAGAAAAGAACGACTTTTTTATTCTATTTGTACAGATTGCTTATTGCATTTTCCTACTGTCGTGTCGTTTTTATTTCTCTATTACGTCATTTCGCTACAAAAGCAGGCGGCCCACGGAAAACTGCTTTTTGACGGTTTTATTTTGGATCCGGTGCGCCCGCCGTCGAGACGGATTAAAGGGATGCGATAGATTAAATCGTCTATTAGAGCTCAAATTAAATTCTGCCATGCGGAAGTTTTCGAAACTATTTGATTCTTAATCTAGACATTTTTTTCTAATTTTATCAGACAGGCATTTGCGGATTTAAAATTGTAAATTGCGGATTACTACCTACTGGCAGAAATTAATTAGTCATGAATATAATAAAATTTAAAACTAGTGGTGCACGATATCGTAAATTCAGGCAAACTTCTGGAACTTCATGTACCATAATTCAAAACTTTTAAAATTTTAATGGAGAAATTTTTTTTAACTTTTAAAATTCTTTGAAAATTTTGAAATAATTGATCGTCAAACAGCATTTAAAAAAATTCTGGATCTACGAAACCTCTAGACCTTCCAACTATTTAATGAATTCGTTGTTCGATCAATACGAGTACAAGCTGAATGTTTTTTGACCTGCTTTTAATAATTTAATAATTAAAAAAAATCTAGCATTTTTCTCATTTCTGAATAGTTGATAATTATTGAAAACAACATTTAAAGTTTAGGCAATTTTTTAATATTCATTTTACCATTATTTTTAAGAATCTAGTCATTAAATAATATCAGCTATAGATTTTTATTTGTATGTAATAACCATCTAATGTTAAGTCAAGTCTTTCCTGTTATGGTTACTACTATTTTTTGTAACTAGAACTCATAACTCACGATTTATTTAAAAAAATTCAATGTTATAAAATTGTAAAAATTACGCACCCATATACACCATTATGATATACTCGCGTTCTATATTAACCGAGGTAAATTGATTACAAAAAATATTATTATGACAATACTTTTGTACATCGAACAAAAGCTATCGGGATTGTTACACTGTTTATTCGAACATTTTATATTGCATAATCATTACAATTAATTATAACATGCAAACAAAATGGTTACATAATTTGTGTGGCACGTGTAAAGTTTGTATTAGAGAATGTTTTAGTCAGCTCTATTAGATAAATTTTAATAAATGAAATTATCAAATATTAATGGTTCGATTACTATCTAAAAATACGACGAGGGGAGAAGTTTCAGTCTAACAGCTCATATGACGTAAGGCTTTGATTGGTATTACAGAAGAAAAGTTTTTTTCAAATTTTTGATTTCAGTAATCTTTTTTTTAGTCATCATGTAGGTACCTATTATACCCTGATTCATAAGTTTGTAACTTCTTAACCATTATGCTAGTTCCTTTTACCAGAAACTATTACTAATAAACAGTATCTATCTAATATTATTTGAAGTTCATACATCACTATTTTTAAACATGATTTAAAATAAATTTAATGTATATCAATGTGTACGCATCTCTCTGAAGTAAATAATATGAATCATAAAAACAAATATTCAATGATAAGATGAATCACAATTTAGAAAAAAGTCTATCGATCAGAAGTATAAAATGTGATAAACGGTTGTACCAAAAGCTCGTGTAAATTAGACTGGAGTGGTTGCCGTTAGAGTTAATTCTCTTGATGAGGAAACTAGAAATCCGTTCGCCTATTTACGCCCCTAAATATTTACTTGACACAGGTATAGTTGAACAACGTACACAGAACTTTGCGAAACACATAAGCTTGTAATCGGCGTAAGAGCCACGAACTTCGCACTTAATGATAGGACACGGAGTGATAATACGATATAATACAATAAACAACGGCAATTCCACAGGAAATGTAGGTAAAAGGGTATGTTTAATTGATAAATAAATATTTAGGAACCGCATGCAGACGTTTTTGGAATTAATAATTCATAAGTCCTATCATGCTCCTTTTCAATCGTATTCAAGGAAACTGTAATTCTGATATTAATTATTCGGAATTAGAAATTTTGAACAAAACATCGTAAATTTATACTTAATTTCAACAAAATTTATTAATTAACTTTCTGTAGGGTAAGTTATAGTAATCGTCCAAAAATTTGAAATGAATATTTTTGCATTTCTTTACGTTTCAGAGGCTTCTGAACATTTTTAGCATACTTGGAAAAATAGATATGTTTGTGTGTATGTATGAATACAATTTATTATCGACGATTTTCGGAGCACCGCTCAACCGATTTGAATGATTCCCAAAGCATTCGATTCCTATTGATCAGGAGACGTGCTGGTTAGTTTTTAGCAAGGTTGGTCCAGCCGTTACGGAAATATGGAGCAAAGAACACAAAAGAATGGAGTATCCGATTTGAATGATTCATAAAACATTCTACTTGTATTGACGTTATGAAGAATTAAGTTTTTGCAAAAGCAGATTTAACAGTTCAATCAAGAAAAAAAGTTTAAAAATATGCCATATGGGGGTCGAAAGTCAGATATTTTGTAATTTGAAGAAAACGATATGTAGAGTATAAAAAAATTACGAAAAATTTCAGAATTTTCAAAATGTTTGGAGAAAAAAATCTAAATATCTCAAAAAATTCCAAGCTTTCAAAAAATATTAGTATCTTCAAAAAAACAATTTTTTTCAATATTCAAATTTTTCAAATGTTCTCAAAATTTCCAAAAATGTTCTAAAAAATTAAAAATTCTCAAGTAATTATAATTTTTCTTTTCTGAGTTTTCAAAAATTTTAAATTGCAATACAGGACGTTCCACCAATTTGCCTTAAAGCACGATGCCCATGCACCACTATTAGTTTGCATTTTGAATTTAAAGTAATTTCTATTTTAAGTCTAGCCTTATTCCATTAATTATATATTGAGTACTGAATATATACATTGTTACCAATTTTTATTAAAAACGTTGCAAAAGTGCCGTATTTTCTTGGCAAACCTTAGACAAATGGATATGTTTGTGTGTATGTGTGAATACAATTTTTCTTCGGCGATTTTCAGAACATTGCTCAACCGATTTGAATCATTCAAAAAGCATTCGATTCCTATTGATTAGGAGACGTGACTGATTAGTTATTGGCAACCTAAAGGTTGATCCATTTATACTTGATGATTGTATCATTCCAATTTATCTAATAGGGCTGACTTTCAATTTGATGCAGCAGTGAAATTATTAGAATATATTTTCATTCTAAACCAAATATAGAAGTTGATCAAAAAGTAATTTTTGACTTTGATATTTTTATACTTTGGACTAATGCTATCGAGATTTTATATATTTTACTCAAAAATATCCAAAAATAATTATAAGATGCAAACAAAATAATTGTGATACGAGTGTAGGTACTTGGCATTGCAGATTATATTGATCACAGTTAATGTGGTGATGCATGCGTTTATACAAAATGTTCTACAACATTGAATCTCAATTTGTGAATTATGTCAATCTCAATTTCTGAATTATCTTTCGTGTGATTGTAATCATTTTATGTCATTTGAACAATATTAATAAAAAATTTCTTCTTCTTTTGCAGTTTGCGTCGTCCACCCAGTTCGCCGCGGTTGAACCCGCACGCAGTTCGAGCGGAGCTGGGAAGAGCCCTGGACGTTTGGTCTCAGCACAGCAAACTCACGTTCACCGAAGTCGACAGCGACAGGGCCGATATTCTTGTCTATTTTCACAAGTGGGTATTCTTGATGAACATTTTCATGTGCATTAAAATTTCTGATAAACATTTTCATATATGTAGTAAAGTTTCCGGATATTTCATCATAGTAGAAATATGCTTTTTTGATATTTATCTAAAATTTGCCACCTTGGTTCACTTTACACCATAGGCTTGATGAAAAGGGACAACACGTGAGCAAAAAGATCCAATATTTTATTTTTAATTCCATAGACTTTTTACGGAATAATATTTACATTATTCAATCTATACAAAGTAGAAATATGTTTTTTTGCTATTTTTTTAAAATGTGCCACCTGGTTTACAGGCGCTTGAGCAAAAAGGCCCAATAGATTATTTTTAATTTCATAGAACTTTTTCAGAATAATATTTACATTATTTAATCTATGCAAAGTAGAAGTATGTTTTTTTACTTTTTATAAAATTTGCCACTTAGTTAACTTTACCCCATAGGCATGGTGCAAAGGGATTTATTTAGGGTTTATTTTTAATTTCATAGACCTTTTTGAAAATTACTTCTGCATTATTTAATCTATGCAATGCAGTTTAATTTTTGGTAAAGTTCCCAGCTAATTCATTCAAATATGTTCTCTTGCTATTTATTTAAAATTTTCCTCCTGGTTTACTTTACCCCGTAGTCGGAGTAAAGCACAGCGAGCAAAAAAGTCCAATATTTTATTTTTAATTTTTATTGAACAATATCTACATTATTTATTCATTACGATTTTGTTGAATTATTGGGTTGAGCAACGAAATTAAAAATTGTAATTTAAATATATTATACCTACTCTTAAGCATAATAAATAAAAATAATTATTAATTCTTGCCATCATGGCTTGCCTGGTTAGGTATTTCTGTTCAATTTATCATAATCAGGTTTATTGATTCTCAAAATACAATTATTACAAATAAGGTAAACACATTTATGTACAAATGTTTAACAAATATAAGACTGCATACACCCTTTGTATGGAACTTCGTTAGAAGAATTAATTAGAATTGGTATATATACTATATCATTAATATTTGAATATTTTTTTGTATAATTACTATTTTACTTGTTATGTGCTATTAGTTTAATGTTTTGCATCATGCTAGTATAAAGGTTTAGGAGGTCCTTCTCACCCGAAAACATGTATGGAATTCTGGAGGTTATATAAAAAAAATAAGAGCAATAATCGTAATCAAGTTTTCCAAGTCATTATAGACGAGTATGTGTTGACCTTTGGCTGGTTCTGTCGATAATTTTCACAGAAAATTGATAATTTATACTGAAAGTATGATCCAAGTTTACATAACTAGATATGGCTTTGATATTACGAAAGCACTCATTAATATATTCAATGATTATATGATAATTATAAATATACGTTATAAAACAATTAATTAATGCGTACTGAAACAATTTGTTCAGATATTATAAACTAAGGGTAATGCTCAAAAAAAACTAACAACGAAGCATAACAAGTACTTGTGTTAATTATTTGACAATGAAGTCTTTTTCTTGATTCCGAAGTCACCCATTCAATTAAACTAATTTCAATTAAATAATATCACTAAAAATATCACACCTCAATTGTGTTTTTAGATAATGGTGGTTTTATTTCAATTTTTATTATTTAATGTTTTTAGCGATTTCTCGCGCTTAATATTCTTCAGGCTGCTTATCTAAAAATCAGGGAAATTTAACGTATGATATGTCTTCGGGAAACGAAACATATAAATAAATACACTTATTGAAATTCTCCAACAATTATTAAAATTTTAAAAAACAACTAAAAACCAATAATTATTAAAATTTTCCAATTAACTTTATAATAATTTGCAGGAACGTAAAAGTTAAAAAAAAATCAATCTTTGATTGATTTCAATGACCTACTTATTTCGACGAAAGTAATTATGAAACTATAGATGGGATTACGGTGAAACAATATAATAATCACTATTTTACAAAAGAAAACAATCTTTTTCTACAACGTGCACGTTTTAAATATAGGAGTGTTTGCATGATCTATTATTAGTCGACGAATCCAAAAACCATATCCAAACACTTTTGATGAATAGCGAATCATTTAATTTTTCAAAGCACGTACCGTTTTCAAAGCGTTGCTTTATGATTTCATCACAAACATAATAATTTGTGACAAAACTCGGAATTCTTTTGAGAAATGAATTTTTCGGGCTCCGAGCTGTTTATATGTACCGAGAGAAATCTTACGTGATCACCGGAGCGTGGGTAAACATTTTACAGCTCTCTGTATTGAAAGCAAACTTTTTAAGGGAGATTGATTACGGATATATAATGCCACGAGTTCAAGAAAGTAAGAGAAAAGAAGGAAAAAAATGCTTAGCTCGAGCATAATGGAAGTTATAAGAGCAATAATCGTAATAAAGTTTTCCATGTCATTATAGACGAGTATGTGTCGACGTTTGGCTGGTTCTGTCGATAATTTTCACAGAAAAATGATAATTTATACTGAAAGTATGATCCAAGTTTACCTAACTAGATATGGCTTTGATATTGTTAAAGCACTCATTAATATATTCAATGATTATATGATAAACATAAATATAAATTGGTTTTATTTTGAACATATGGATGGGAGGGGCACAACTTCAATCTATCACAATGAATTTTAGGACATAAACAATGGATGACTAAAATAATGTTTTGCGTAATTTCATTTCGTAATTTCTTTGTGTTTCTTATAAAATTGATTAAAAAATCTTATAGCTGCACGTGCATTATTTGACCGAGGATGAACTACAATGTTGTGAGGAATGAATAATCAAATATATTACGTAGTTTATACATAAACCTAATAATTACAAACGAGGCACGTAGTGTCTATTAATATATAATTAATATACTTGTATATATATATATATATATATATATATATATATATATATATATATTTAAGCTATGCGTGTGTGTTTCTCGTATCATGCGAACTACATTATAAGTTTGGTTTCTTGCAGATCTATATATTTTTATTTGTGATATTCGATCAAGCAAGCGTCATGCATAATAAATTTTCGAATTCCAAAAATATTCATGACCTAATTCCGATTCATTTTAATCCTTCACTCATACACCAGAAGATCAAACGCTTCTGAGTGCAATTTCCATACATATACTCGTATATGATTTGTTTAAAGCAGTCAAGCGTGATATTGAAATACCTATGACCATATAAAATTTGTGTTTGAATCAATTTTACGCAAGTAATGCTAACAATATGTCGAAAAAATAAATTATTGGATCTCTAATAATAATGTGTTAAAATGTAACATATCATGGTTGGTTTGTTTATAAAATTAATTGGAGTGTTATTTGAAATTGTTTGATCGGACTTGGATTAGATTTATAGTTTCACAATAGTATTTAGTATGGCTTATTAATTATAGGCATGTTTCAGCATTTTTTATGATAGTATTTATCATGATGATTTCATTTTAAACAAGGCTGAGAGAGAACGATTATTTGCGTCGAGAAAAATTATAACTTTTCTATGAGATTTTTCAAAATTCAACATAAATGATTAGTTACCAATCACACTTAATTTACAGTGCATAAAGAAATAAATATAATTTTTGTTATTATATATTAGGTTAGGGGATTAACTTAGCAAAAAGAATATAAATGGTGCAGTATAAACTAATGCAGAACACAAAAGAATATAAATGGTGCAGTATAAACTAATGCAGAACACAATGAAAAATCATTTATAAATTTTAGTTTATATATCGTACTAATTATTTATTTGTTAACAAGCAAGACGTGGTCAATTACAATAACTAATATTTAAGGCTTTAGTCAAGCTGATTCATCATAATAGGATATAATATTATGGCTTTGTAAAATAGATAGGTTATACTATCCTTAATTAAAAGGAACTGAATGTAAAAACATAAAAATTAAATGTAATAGAGTTTTTAATTTTAAAGTCTAATTAATCTCCAGTCAAGCTTAAATTTCATCTGCAATGTTGAAATTTTCATAGTTTCTTTGCGATATCGATTTGCCTTTTGCTGATTAATATCACTTTCGACAGATCAGATCAAGGTTATATACAATGAATTCTTTGTAAAAAAATATTCCCATAAAATTTATTTTGTTTTTCACATTGCCTAAATAATGCAGTTATTATTTCGTAAAATCCATTTAAAATTTCAAGATAGATATTGGATCTGATGTTTATCCTCTGGCTGACTCCTTTTTCCTTGACCATGAGGAGCAAAGGGGCAGATGACAAATTTTTAAAAAATAGTTAAAAATGTGTTTTTATAATTAGGAATCAACTGAGAATTTGAATATGAATGAGGAGTTAACTGGAAATAGTTCGATACTTCTACTTGTTGTTTGCTACATGATATGTGTTGAACAGATAATTATTGAAAGTCAAATTGGGGATCTTTGTGCCCCGCCTTTCTCTATATTACTTTTACTTATGAAATATACTTCTTTAAACGATTTTTTTATGAAATTATTATATATTTTTTGTTTTCCTTTCAGAGATGACCACTTCGATGGGTTTCCTTTCGACGGACGAGGTTCCGTCCTGGCTCACGCCTTCTTTCCGGGTTCAGGAAGAGGCGGTGATGCTCATTTCGATGATGATGAACACTGGATAGTAGGAGATTTTGATGAAAGCGAAGAGGGTAAGTCAATTGCTATATTCAGAGGAAAATTATCAGTTGAAATATTCTGGGATTTAGGGGAGTCTTTGGGGATGGTGAAACAAGTCGTTAATATTATGATTGGGAAGAATATTATTAATTTTGAAATCAAATTCACTACACTATCATGCATACTATTTTATTGAATGCTATGGTTTGTTCCATCATAAACATAAATATAAACATTAATAACATAAAATCTTGAAATATGTCTGTGTGAATGAGATAAAAAAAATTATGACTATTATCTTATATTAAAACGCTTAGTTACGTCCAACTGCATTCTTTACCATGTCATTTTTTAAAAATTACTACACTTAAATTATTTATTATATAAACACTGGTGCGATCTGCAATACACTGGCCCTTTTCTGAAATGTAGACAGTGAATTCTGAATTCTAACCCTGTGAATTTCAAAAAATTATAGAAATAAAAAATCCAATATTAATCTCCATCTCTAAGCGGCTGATTATCGATTATAATCTAAATTATTGTGTCTACGTTGATAAGATTTATAAAATTTCTGTAGTTCGTTTCAATGCTTAAAGTTTCATCAAAATCTTAGGGATAACGTTTTCCTTGCTAAAATTAAATAATGCAATGATCATAAAACATTTTAAAAAAAATTTAACAACCAGTTGTAGAAATAAAATTTCAAAATTATTACAATTATTTCACCATATATATAATAAATATTCTGCTTATCATTTGAAATAAATTTCACATACATTTATAATCCCCTACTCTAGTTCGTACCAAAATATATCGACATGCGGGTATTATAAATTCTCAAAGTGCTACTTCTCGTATTAATAACACAAAACCTTCGCAATTGAAATTGTTTTATAAAATATAAAAGAGGATTTATTTATTGATTCAAATCTCTACGAAAAAAGAACGAAACAGAATATGAACGTCGGCAGTTCATATATTATACATGCAAAAAATACCCTATTATTTACTCAAGATTCATTTAATATTTCAGATCTCTACAGAGATCACAAACATTTTCGCGCTTGCTTCATTTTCTTTTAGTGCTTTAAACAATTTGAAGATAACTAGAACAGGACTTCTTAATCTTTAAACTAATATTTTTTGCTGATTTTTTCTTTTTTGTTCAAACTTTTCCAATAATCTTATATAATTTTTATAATGTAGACCGTGAATTCTGAATTCTATATTAGAAATAATAAAATTAACATTCGGTTGTAATTAAGTTTGTAAAAATTAACTAATTTCTTTTACCTTTTAACTTTTTAATTATTTATACCTCGGAGGTTCAATTAATAAGTAACTTTCAACCTGTTCAAATAAAAAGTCTGCAGCTTTAATTGAAAAACAAATTTCTAGGCTTTTCATTAACCTTTGAACGACTGGTTCGGAGTTTTGTAATTATAATGTTTATTGCTTGGTTTCATTATAAAGCAACCAGAAGGTGACAATAAGGTTGAAAACAAATTTTAGGCATTTGCATGGCACTTCTCAATCTAGCAATAGTTAAACATTTAATTAAATCTATAGTACAAAAATTATTTTTTGCTTCAAATTTGTAAGAGAATTTTCATATTGCTTCTAGTAGGTTGATTCACACCCACGTAGTAAATTGAACCAGTTTTTAAAATATAATTTATATGTTTATAATAGGAAGGTTTAATTTTCCAAATTAAGAAAAAAAGTGTTATAAAATGTTATAGAAAGAAGCACATTTTATAATTTTTATAGAATTAAACCAGAAAAAAAGCAATTGTTGTAGAATCATCTTATAAAAGTTTGAATTACTGCGACGTAGATGCACATTATCATATAATCATAATTTATTTACCATCTTCCTCAGTACGGATTTTCATCAGGAGCTGAGAACACCATGTCGACTTGCGTTAATTTTATATTCTTAGTAGAAAAAAACGAAAATGAAAATGAAATTGCACACAAAATAAAGATTCCAGAATTTTCTGCAATTGTTACGAAATGCAATGGCAGACAATGATATAAAAATAAATATTTATTAACTTCCAGTATGATAACGTATAGCAATATGAAAAAAATCGAAAAAGTCTTATTAAAAAAGGTCAATATAATATATTGTATCCTGATAATTTTGCCTCAGTTCAGTCACGGAATATGGATAATATAATATATCTATCACTAATGGAGATGAATGTGCAAAACAGTCCCGGAAATACTCACAGTATATGATTTGAATCGCCATTCGTATTTGAATAAATTATTACATAGAATTTATGAACATTGTTGATAATGTAATAATAACATATATAGATATGACAAAACATATTACGAAAGCGCACATATTGTTCTACCTATATTGTTCAAATTAATTTGAATCGAAGCATAACATATTATGAAAATGATTTTATCTCAAATCATATATTTATGAATGTTGATTATTGATAGAAAAATGAGTAAAATATATATTTACGTTATATTATGTAAATTAATTATTTAGGTAATATATTTAATCTTTTTTGCTTGTATTGCTTATCTTTTCTTTACTCCAATTTTGATAAATTGATTTTTTTTAAATACCAAGTCTCACCAAGTATTGAACTTAATTGATCCTCTGAGCTTTAAGCTCCTAACCCCTGGCTGCTAAGGCTTAATCCAGCTCAAACAAAAACGCAGTCATACTCTAGAATTATTTTCAGTAATCAAATTATAATATAATAATAATTACATCTAATTAACTGCGTTTGTTCATAAATTATTTTCTCGGTTGCTTACCTCTGGCCTAAGGGCAGAATTAAGCTTAATACGAACGATGTACATTTTATGAGTGTAAGCTGTCACAATAAAAGTCTTTATCTGTTTCACGGCTTTTTGCATATTTAGAGCACAAACAGGTCGACAGTTATTTAATATTATAATTCCTTTATGCAATAATAACTTTCATCCTGTCTCCTCTATTTCAGGATTTGCCTCAATCTAATGGGTTTCGTTTTAATGTGTCAGAATTATATTTTAATTACGATTATGATGTGAATAAATTTTTACGCTTGGAATTCCTCAGCTCAGGCTGTTTGTGAAGGGTCATTGTGAATATTTAATCTTGTTATTTATAATGAATGTGTTAGCATTTTATTTTAATAGAAAGTAATTATCCTGTCTTATTTCTGAGATTATATATATATATATATATATATATATATATTGTAGAGTTTCGAACAAGAATCCAAAAATAATAAAAAATAAAAAACAAGAAAAGTTTTTAATAAACAATTTCTTTATTTAATTATTTGTTTACTGTCGACGTTTCGGAACTAGGTACGTTCCATCTTCAGGACATCTGTCAAGAAACATGATCTTGATGAGATTTGAGCAAACAATATGTTTAGGAAAAGAAAATAGATTTTTCTTAAATAATAAATTAATTGCAAAAAATATAATAATGTACAGAAATATGATAATATGATCAAAATGAAAATGATAAAAAATGATAAAAATAAATGAGTGGATTATCAGAACAGGATATTAAACATAATAGAATTTTTTTTTGAAAGTTATGGAAAATTTTTTAAGAAAAGGTTAATGACAAAGTTGAATTAATTACCTGTATGTTTGAATAATTAAATAAAAAATAAAATAATTCAACTTTGTTGGTGACTGTAATCTTCTATCATAATTGGTGCATTTGATTTTGTTAATTCAATTGAGTCATAAAAAATAATTATTGTGTGGTCTGTGATTTGTTTATGCCTTCTGTAACAATAAGTTCATTTAATTTTTTTAATATATATTATTTGAACCTGTATAGGAACATTGGTAACATTAATTTATTATGTCGGTTTTTTTCTTTTATAGATAGGCATATCAAACAGTTGTTCCATCTCAAATAGCAGTGACAAATTGTAATTATTATTATTATTACTTTTACTATTATTACTTCAATAGTTTATGTAATTACCTATCTATATTTATTTTTTATTATTCTTCAGTTCTTAATCCATGTTTAGTTTCTCTATTTTTTTTCAAATTACAGAGCCATTGTTAATTTTAGTCTCAATTTTTCAATTTCTACTTTGCTTTGAGGTTGCTTATAAATTATACTTTCATGTTAATTTTAAATCATATTTTGTTCATCATATTATATGTCAATCAAACTCAATTTTGGGAAACATCAAGAGGCATCTTTGTTCTGATTATGTAATCACCAGTGTTTTTTTATTCAGTGGTGACTTCTTTGTTCTAGTAATTATTTCTCTACGGTTAATTGTTATCGAGATAATTTGCCTTTTTTTCTTAGCAATATGCTGGCCATATAATGTCTAGATAATATAAATCATGTATTGCCTAATAGATAATTTTGGAGTGATTGTATAACATGACTTTATAATATTTAGCTGACTTGTTATGGCTTAAAAATATGTGTTCAGAGATCAGGTCTTATTCTGATCAAAAATAGGACTTGTGTCAAAATAAAAATATAAGGATAATATGATTACATGCTATTCATTTTTACCCTAGCATTTGCCCAAACATATGTGTCAATAAATAAGCATTGGTAATAATAACAGGGCACACAGAATACCCTTTGCTATGTAAAAGTGTATGTGGGACTTCTACCTTAGATCCACTTAAATTTCTGGCAAAGAAATGTGGGTTGATACCCTAATCAGAGGTATGAAATATATTGCATACACGAATTATTTATGAGATGTAACAACTCTATTCACTACAGGCTGCATTCACAAAAATTGTATCTGTATGTTGATAAAAAATATATTTTGTTGCGCATAGGTTGGTAAAATTACTTGTGAATAATTGATATTGTAAAGCAATATATGAAGAAAATTTAGCGCAAATCTATTAAGTATTGCGGAGCCTAATATGGGTCCAGATTTTATCTTCTGCGATATTACCAATTTATTAATATGTGACTATGAACACAGAAAAGGCCTATGCCATTAAAGATGCCTTATCACTGGTCGTATTCTAGCATTATTGTATTTCATTGCTCGGTCGTAAT